CATTTTAACCTCTCTATTCAAGTACAGTCAACTTAGCTAATAACGACTGCGGATATAACGACAATTCGCGAATAACGACAGAGTTTCCATGCCCAGAGCACAGTCCATTCTACCTGAATACATATAATGAGACTTCGGGTATAACGACACTTCGCGAATAACGACACTTTTCTGATGCCCCGCCGAATGTCGTTATACGCAAAGTTGACTGTAGTCCGACTTACTTGTGTTTCACAGAACACCCTGGGAGGACCCTCGTCTTGTAGCGAAATAAAGAACTCGAACGTTCCGCCGCGATACGGACCGCCGTTCGGCCGAATCCTGATGTTGAAGTGCTTCAGGGGCTGGTCGAAGTCCAAACCGTCCAGCAGAACCTCAACCTGGTCGTCGCTGAAGCTCTTGACGTTGCGCAGCAGGCGCTGGAATTGTTTCATTACTTTCCCTTGCATCGTGAGCCAGTGGAATGTAGTGGTAGATCATACACGAATAAGGTCGCATACACCTACTCACAGCTACTGTACGTAAGAGCAGTATTAACGAATCGAACGATTTTTTAAACGAATTAAAAAAATCGTTAAATTTTTTTTAATGTTATAATATCTGGTCTTACAGAGTCAGTTGATCAAAACCAAAAACATCTCTTTCAGGGCGTACACACACTTGAGAAGAATCAAAAGCTTTTCCGCTATCAGGGCGTACACCAATGGTATAGCGTAGGAGGTTAGAGAAAGGCTAAAACGAATCCCGGAGCGCTGCTCGCTCCACACCGAATCCGACTAGACGGTAATGCCTACTGGATTCAAAGAGCACTACATCTTACGTAGTTATGATGGTCGTTTTATATGCGCGCCCGATCGTCAGCACAGGCCACGAGCTCAGCTCGCTGTAGCCAGCTTCACTGTCGATGCATGTCATCTTGGCATGGCTAGCTAGCCGCGGCTAAAGCTTCACCTGTAGCTGTACAGCTAGCTGTAAGTTATACTGGCTAGCAGGCGGTGAAGCGTGAACTCTAGACTAGATCTCGCCCTACTACTACATGTACACTACGCTTTAGGTTTATGCCTTATGGCTTTAGAATCGCGTGATAAAAAAAGAAATGACGTAACCGCCGTTGCAGTTCAATGTAACCCCAGGCATTAATGCATTATGCATTACAGATTATGTCAACATTATGTCAGTTGAGCAGAGGGTTTGACAGGCAATGACAGCTTCCTTTTTGGCGATGACTCACTCTCCGTATTCTTGCAGGCGCTGTGTGTGTGTGCGCGACTGCGCGTGCCGTCCGGAATGCAAGACTTGTTTTCGACCCCTCGCGGCACCTTGGACTGGTCACTGCATTTGGTCATGTAGAGGGTAGTTGCCATTGGTTACAGAGAGGTCTGCGCGTGAAGAGACAGGTTAGGTCATGGCTGGACCAACTGTTTGGACAACATCAATTATTATTATGTGTGGTTACTGCTGACCAAATCACTTTTACGGGCAGAAAACAATTCCAGTATAAACACACAAGTAATTGAAGAGAGAAAGCAAGAAAGAGAGAAAGCAATGTGTTTACACTGCAACTGTCAGTAGTACTGTGTTTAAAATGTAAAATTGTTTACTGCCAATAGTAATACAGTAATGACTATGTGGTCAGGCTAGGCGAGGGTATGGCCCGACCAATAGAAAACTCCTTTCACCCGTCCCGCTGGCCTGTGAGTCTGTGACTGAGGAGTGAGGGCCAGTACAGTGAGGGCCAGTACAGTGAGGGCCAGTACAGTGAGGGCCAGTACAGTGAGGCCAGTCAAGTACATGATGTAGTTCTGCTGACCATCTACAACATGTACATTGTACATGTACAATGTACATGTACATGTACAATGTACATGTACATGTACATTGTACATGTACATGTACATTGTACATGTACATTGTACATGTACATGTACATCTACTACATGTACATGTACTACATCAGTAGAATAGTAGATCTACGTGATCATGGACTGAAAACCAGTGTCACGGTGTCAGCCAGGACAGGCTAGCATCGCTCGGCAATCAGACGGCATTCCGGACCGTAGTGCTGTCAGAGCTGTGTTGTACCTTTTTGCGCAGCTGCAACTGTGCAAGTAACAGTTCCAGTCAGGGAAACTCGAATCAATGAAACTCAAATGAAACTCGAATGAAACTCGAATGAAACTCGAATGAAACTCGAATGAAACTCGAATGAAACTCGAATGAAACTCGAATGAAACTCGAATGAAACTCGAATGAAACTCGAATGAAACTCAAATGAAACTCAAATGAAACTCGAATGAAACTCGAAGGCAACAGCACCGTGTGCTAGTGTACGGACATATGTTCGTTTCGGAATAAGAACAAATCTGTGTTTTTTCCTTTTTATTTAATTCCAAGCAGGCCCGGCACCACCTGTCCAGTTGGCCAGGCCACAGTCGGACCAACGTTTTGGCCACCAACGTGTGTTTGCTCACATTCGATGACTTGACACCTACAGGTCAAATACATGATTGTACATATCTGAAGCGCTAAACAACAGCCTTCCACAAACGCTCTCTTCCATTAACACTGCAATAGTTCAACTCATTTCACAATAATCATTCCAACGTTTCGGCAAATTGCCTTCATCAGGTTCACAATGATGTGCAAGCTCCCAAACCAGCATTGATAAAGGCCAACAACTCCCCTGTCAGTAAAAGGTTTTTTATTTCCTCATTTCCTCTGGGAAATTGTGTGTTGCTCCCTACATGTGAGCTCGCGCTTTTCTTGCCGACTTGAATTCTCACTTGACTGACTCACGACTGCCGCCCAGAGCTAGGGACCGGCGGATTCTGCTCGAAAAGGTGGCAGATTCTGCTCGAAAAGCAGTAAACTTGGCAGAACCATACAAACCTTACGGTGGACATTCCTCGAATTCTGCTCCATTTCTTTATCCACATACCAAACATGCATGAAACGTACCAGAAAAAGTACCGAATTCTGCCAATTTTTCTGCCGGTAGAATCCGCCGGACCGTACCCAGAGCACACGAGAGTCCATCGAACCGTCCACTCGGCAAACCTGCAAGAAAGCACCACTCCCTGCTCAATACACAGTGTTTGGGGGAATTCCCCCCTCATCAGTTGAGCTTGAGTAGGCTGAGGAAGATTGTGCCTGAAGAGCACCACTTATAGTGCTCTACAGGCAAAACATCACCAGGGATACAAACTTACAGAGACGCTTCGTTTCCAACGCGACAACAACAGCGCGGGCTTGAGAATTAGATGGTTTAGATGCAAGAACGTTGTGAATGGCCAATGGTCTTCAGCGCTTGTTCAGCACCTCTATGAGCGACACTAACTCACGCTGCTATCTGGTGTTCACGAGGTGTTTGTCGTGCTGGAAACGGAGCGTCTCTGTAAGTTTGTATCCCTGGTGATGTTCTCGCCTGGAGAATACTATAAGCTCAACTGGTGAGGGTTGCACCACTTCTACATAATTATATGACTGTAGAAGTGGTACTATTTGCCATGGCAACCCCCGTATGTCCACATAACTGGCTGGGCAGGGTTTGGCCTTTTTCTTTTTCTTTTCTTTTTCATTAGTATTTGCAATACAATCATGTCACTTGTTGCTCACTGCGTCATATCATAGCTAAAGAAGTGGTGCTCTTCAGGCAAAATCTTCCTCACCCTATTCAAGCTCAACTGATGAGGGGTGAATTCCTCGAAACACTGTGTATTGAGCAGGGAGTGGTGCTTTCTTGCAGGTTTGCCGAGTGGAAGGTTCGATGGACTTCTCGTGTGCTCTGGACGGCAGTCCTGAGTCAATCAAGTGAGAATTCAAGTCGGCAGGAAAGGCGCGAGCTCCCATGTAGGGAGCAACACACAATTCCCCAAGTATATCGCCGAAGTCGCATCAACTTCTTGTTCTCATTTCCTCTATCGTAATAAATAGGATAAATTCCGCCGTCATCCCTACTCATCAACGAAGTCATGAAGGTATGATTCTAGTTACATGTACAACCTGGTGTAAGCGACCTCTGTGTTTAGCGACCACCTGCTCTTAACGACCGCTTTTCTATGCACCTACAGTTATACACAGACACTGTGGGACCTGGCTCTAAAGACCACCTGGCTTTAACGACCACTTTTGCTTGCACCCTGGGCTGGTCGCTTAAACCAGGTTTTACTCTACATGTACATCTACGTAGCGCTTGCGCCGAGCATCATTCAGTCGACCTGATTCCTACAAGTGTACTTCAGTAGAGTATTTCCGCTTAAAATAAATGCAAGTAAATAGACGACATGACTTCGTTGATGTGCAGTGATGACGGCGGAATTGATCCTATTTATTGCTATTTTGAAATTATTGTCTCCACGTCAATTATTTAATCCTCTATTGTCTTCATTGTTCTGCTCCTCTTGTGTCCACATTTTGCGCGTGCATTTTGCCTTCTTGTTCTTTTTTATTCCACGGCTGGTAGCTCTCATTCATTGCATTGGTTGACACTACATGACTGTTTGTCGTCCATGGATTGAGAATAATAAAATTAATAATGGAGGCTCCATCAACAGCTTTTTTTGTACCACAAACCTATACTTTCATATTACTGTGCAAATTCCTTTCCAGTGACTGGTCTTGGGGCAAAGTGGAAACTGCCGGACTGGTTGCGGAATCGTGTTTTGTGACAGGTCGAACTCGCATACACACATACATGTACATATGCACACACTGATCTTTGGCTATCAATGCTTCTCAGGGGAAAGGGAAATCGTCCATGTTACAGGAGAATTTGAAACTCGGATGTTGAGCCAATAATAATGTACAATTAGTTGCCAAAGTGTCTTGAGTCCTTGCTGCAAATAGTGCTCAATACCTCAAAATGGGCAGAGCGTACTACACAAGGCAGAACAACAGAGACCAAAATCTTTCTGGTAACTCCGAATTACCCTATATAACTAGCAAATAGCATTATTATGTTTTATGGTCTGATGAGTGTGTATCAACACGAAACTCGGAGTTACGAGAACGATTTTTGGTCTCTGTTGTTCTGCCTTTAACCCTTTGGAGTCCATGGTTCGATTTCGAACCATGGGCATTTTGTATGCATGTGGGCGCAGTCAAACTTTCGGTTCTCGGCCAAATCTTGACCAAATTCAACAATCGAAGGGTCTAGATGGTAGAGAAAACTCTCATCTATCGCCTCAAACAGGTCCGAAGTCTCTCCGGTGAAGTTTGAGTGAGCGGCGAGCGATCAAACATTTCGAATTTTCTGCCCTGCGTGCTGCGAGTCAGCAGTGCGTGAAAAAAAGGGATTTTCCCGGCTTCATGACAGGCGGCAAGTGCCAGGACCGGCGCGGCGCGAAGTCACGGCAAGGTAAGCTTCTATTCGAAAACATTTGAACAGTTCCGAGGTAGATTCAGTGAAATGGCTACAGGAGACCAATTTCGTCTCAGATCTGGAGCTTGACTCGCGTTTGGGGCGCGTTGTGGCGGACAATGAATAGTGCTCTTGGCGAGTTTGGGCTCATTGTATTTCTCTCATCAAGAGCTTTCCAACGAGCCCAAGATCTTCAAAATCGGTGAAGTAGAACCAAAGTTATGTTGGAAATGGAGTGCGCATTTTCGTGACTGCCACAAATTCTGCGGAAGCAAAAAAGTTACGGACTCCAAAGGGTTAATACCGGTATATACAAGAAGTTGCCTGTAGTTATTGCACTTTCTGACTACATGTAGTGTCAAGTTAAAAACTGTTTTCTGATGATCGCTTATTGCGTGAAACACGGAGATAGAACACTTTCCCTGTCCTCTTATTGTTTGTAGTATCTAGTTACACAGAGGGTGTGCGCCTTAACCTGCAATAGTGCTCAAATGCCCGGAATGGGCAGAGCGTAGTACGCAAGAGGTACACAAAAGGAAGTATATAGGGCTGTTTTTTGTTGTAACTCAGAGTTTCATGGCAAAAACCAATCATCAGACAACATAAGGAGATTAGAAAAACGCAGGTATATGAAGGCAAGCAGAGGAGATAGAATAATTCAGTGCAGACGATATGATAATCATTCAACACCTCCCAGAGGCAGTACGCTCTGACGTGCCAGAATCAACATCTCAGGTGCTGGGTGTCATGTTCCGTCCCGTCCAAGGATTTTGCCCATCCTAAGATTGGCAAAATAGCTAATGCCCATCCTAGGATGGGCACTGAGGTGGCCCATTCTCGGATCGATCGACTTGAGATGCACCAATATAATTATATAAACGCACGTTTTTAATTTACACACGGGAAAACAATTCCACGTGAAAAAGGCCCGCGCGCGGGATCTCCATTGATGGAACCTGATCTGATCCTAAGATCGGCATGAGCGCCTGCCCATCTTAGGATGAGCAGAATCGGCGGACGGGCCGGAACATCCACATGTCCTTTTCCTTTTTACAGTCTTGTGCATACCCCGAATTGTTGTGTTCCGACTGCCCATCTTATTGGTATTTCCCCCTCTTTCCTAACACATACTTCGGCAGGAACTGTGTGTAAGTTAGCAGCCGTAACGCTGGAAAAAATCAGGAGACTGAGAAAAATAAATAAAAAATATGTTTGCTAATTGTTGCCGGGAATTGAACCCAAAATGTCTCAATGAGAAACCAACCGAACAACTGATTGATCGTATGAGACACACGGTCATCAACACACCCATCCACACACATGCATGCATACACACACACAAACACACACACACACACACACACACACACACACACCTTGACCTTGACATACAGGTGCCGTTAAACGGCTAAGCTGCCCTCATGAGGAGGGGAACAAAGGGGTAGTATCATAGCTTTGCGGCAGAACATCTGGCCTCATGCTGTTGCAGATCCTGCTGCCTGCGATATCTCTTGCCGCATGCACAGCATAACTTGAACTCCAGACGCTCCCTCACTGTTGGTCGCGTGCCAGGCTTGCAATTGTGCCGTTTCACACACACTCACACACACACACATACACACACACACACACCCCACGCACACACACATACACACACGCACACACATCCCGTCCTGTAGAGCCACTGCCACAGGGGTCACGTTGGCCCCGGAGGGGCATCAGAGAGGAAGACGGACCACATAGCCTGATGACGCCGGAGGTGGTAGAGCAAACGGAACCGGCGAGAACACACGAATACTGTGTACATGAGTGAACGGATTACGCTGCTGGGCAGTCGGGCGAGGGTCAGTCCTCGAGCACCGGTGACGACCGCGACCTTGCACAGTCCAAAAGCAGCAGGCACACACAGCACAGTATGCAGCAGAGCAGGCATCCTGTGCAGAGACTCGACAGGGCTCGGAAGGCTGAGGCGCGGAATATCGGTGCACAGCTAGACCACCCTTGCTACGAAACCAACGCCACAATCCCCACAGTGACAAGCCCCTCGCTGCTCGACAATCGGCTTGGCCCGCTTAGCCACACATTTGTGACGAGCACGATCTCCAGGGCATGAGAATGACCGATAGCAATCACAATCACAAACGCACACAAACACACACACCCAGACATAAACACACACACACACACACACACACACACACACACACACACACACACAAAACCTTAAGCTGTTTACACACTTGGCGCAGGGTTCACGCCTGCCCAAACGCACAAAGAAACAGCAATTCGAGTCGTATTTAGAGCGTGTAACGTCTCCGAGTACTTTTTTACTCCGCCAATTAAAGTGACCGGCATGTGCGCCGGTGGGTGCCTGATATGGGCTGAAAATTCCAACAAGTGAGAAATTCCATTTTGGCGCGTTCCACACGCATGACTTCAAAACAAAACCAGGAAAAACACGCACAAACACATTGTTTCACTCGTACACGCGCCAGTTGTGAACACAGCTTCTTCCAACTTGACAACAATGAAAGATGTCTTAGAAAATTGAGTAGGAATTGAAATGGAATCCCACATTTACACCGTACTTGAACAAAACACGAGCCTGGCCGTGGTGACAGTCAGCTGAACAAGCATTCAACAACGTCATCGGCAACCAGGAAAGAAATATTATAGTTCAGTGCATGACATGCATTACATAGTAGACACATGCGATAGGAATTGTATTATCAGACAGTAAATATCTCCTAGTACGTTTACGGGCTGACATGCAGAGAAAGATAATGAAAGCGTAGATAAAATATTAATAGCAAATTCAACTTCCCACAAAGAACACACATTCACTTTTGGTATGCTCATCCACCTTGCGAATACTCTTCCACATTGCGAATACTCTTCCATGTTGGGAATACTCGTCGACATTGCCGACAAACCGGTCTGATTTATCTTACACAGTGTCTCCTGGGCAGACAAAAATGCAAAAACAAAAACAAAAACTATAATCGCTTTGGTACTCATACGTCTGAAGGAATGGTATAAAAAATAGAGAAAAAGGTAAGGACTCGAATGAGGACCATCACTTATGGCCAGCGATGCTCTGCCGCTAACCCATGGGGTGGTTTTCATCCAAGCAGGTTCAATATTATCAGACTTTGAAACTCACGCTTCCTGTGAGTCCACACAGGCGGGTGGGACGCAGCCCTCACTGTAACCCACACACTTCACGTATAAACTAGCACGTGGTGAGCCCCGATATGCATACGCGACTGTTGCTAGGTTACTGCTAAGTTTGAGGAAAATTTTTAAAGGGAAAATTCTGAAGACAAAATTGAGTGTCTCAACCAGGACTCGAACCAGGGACCCTTGTTTATGGCCAGCAATGCTCTACCACTGACCTATGGACTAGTATGGTGTAGGCGTCATCCCAGCATCGTTTGGTCAACGTTTTCTTCAGACTTTGAAACTCACACAGGCTGAAGGGACGCAGCCATCACTGTAACATGTTATATTGAGCGAAGAAATCTATGTTCGAAATCCTTGCAAATCGGCTTCCAATCTTCGTTACTAGAGAGGTTCTGCAAAACGAAAATGCGTACAAACTTTCGCTCTACGTCATGAAGAGTGAAACTTCGCACGGACTTTCGCAACTTTGGACGCGACACTTGCAGGGAACGCGAAATGAAGTTTCATAGGAAATTTCGTGAGATTGGGTCATGGCTACGTGCACTTGGCACGTGCAAACTACGAAAATGTGCAGAACACAAAGTTCGTGCGAAAATTCGTACACACTTTCGCAAGGACTGTCGCGAAACTTCGTTCGAAATTTCGTTTGGCAGAACCTCTCTACTATTAGTTTTCTGTGGCTTGCCCGGGGCGCTGAGTGTACGGTCCTTGGCGGTTATGTGTTGTGACGCTGAGTGTAGAGTCTTGATGTGTCATGTCCACGCTGCTCAGTGTACAGCCGAGTCCACTTTATATTATTATCTTTATTCTCACGATGGCCCTAGCCAATAAGAGAGAGAGAGAGACAGTACTACCGGTGTGTGTTATCAATCAGAGTGGGTGCAATAAACCGGGAGAAACACTGGCTAGTGGCTAGTGGCACTTAAAACGAACTCGCATATAGCAAATTTCATGATAAAGCGAACCCTTGTCCATGTCCCTGTTTAAACCCATACAAAATTGACCCTTTATAGCAAAGAGTTTTCGTTTATAACGAACCAAATCTTGTAGGTCGGCATGTAAACCAAGTGCACCCATGCCATCATGGGCCTCTTTCCAGTCATGACTTGCTCCTTGCATGGTGTGAGTGCATTTCTGTTATAACGAACTTCTGCTATAACGAACTAATTGCCGAAGGTTCTATGGATTACTCGTGTGTTCTTTGGATGGCAGTTGTGAGCAGGTCAAGTGTAGAGTCCAGTCTTCAGAATGGCGCGAATTATCTAATCAGATATGTTTTCCTCGTGTCACAGTTGCAATTTCATTTCCCTCCTTGCGAATTGCCTGTGCTATTATTTGGTGCGTAACACAACAATCCAAACACCTCCTTCCAGCGGGAACAGGCACTTACTGATGCAAGACGGTAAGTTCTTCCAGAAGCCATCTTGTCCACAAGTCACTGCGCTTCTCAGAACGTGAACATGGTACCCGGTTTGACAGACAACATCCCATGTCTTGCTGTCAATGGAAACGTACCCTGGCAGAGTGAGCTGTGACGGGTCAACTTTACATTCTGCACGGGCAAGATTCAAGGGTAGACAGGATTAGTGAGTTGAAGACACACACGACACCCAAGAGTACATAACCAAGAGCGCCTATCTTGAGCTGCGATGGGTTCACCCACGGCGAAAATTTTTTTATTGTGTCACTCTTTGGCAGAAGTATGATGAAGTGGGTATGCTTTCCCGCGCTTGTTTTGTAGATATGGTGAGAGTGCGTCGGGTTCAAGACACATCGATCTATTGTCCGTTGTTCTGCTTCGACTACCGTAGCCGTAATGTACAAATTCTTTGTACTTTGATCCCTGGCTACGCATGGTGGCATCAGTGAGCCAAACCACCGCCAAAGACTGATGTCATAAAAAAATTCCGCCCTGGGCTGGGGGATCGTCGAGTTGCACACTCTTGGTTATGTACTCTTGATCACACCGATACCTGCAGAAGGAGGGCGAATTCTTAACTCTACTTCATTCAAACAGTTTTCGTGGAGACGAAATGAAATCAACGCGATAAATATGGCAAGTTGCACACGCAATACCCACACCCTGTCTACAGGTTATGTATCCTTTTAAAACTTTTCCGTTGCCATCTTATTAGAAGGATTTACTGGCAAAGATAATTCAACGAATAACAAGATATAAATAATCAAACACCCTCTCTCTTTGTATTGGCCGGTGTTCTCACTGTGCTATGAGATGCTGTAATAAATAAATAAAAAAATAATAAAAAATGTACTTTAAAAATAGCAATACAACTGCGCACTCATATTCCATATACACGTCAAGGCAAAGAAAGTGGGTAAGTGTACCGAGATTGTTTTCCCGTGATGATCACCAGTTGGAATACCACCACCGCATGGGTGATTTGGTATGAAGGAACAATAACAGAGTTTATCTGTTTTTACTGAGCTTGAATACAAACTCCCCTCTCTCCCCCACATAACACTCCAGACTCCCATTTTCCGTACGACATAGTACTTTGATGAAGAGAATACAGACTGCTGTATAGACTGGTATATAAACTGGTATTTGAAATGGTTTATACCCAGCTCATATTAACCTCCACTAATTCCTTTTTTTATTTCCCTTTCTTTGCTACCGGTATATTGCCCACTTAGAGGTTGTAACTTTTCGACTTTCAAGGGATTTGGAAATTTTCTCTCCAATTAAAAAGAGAAAAATAGAATAGAAGAAAGTTTCAGCAGGAATCAAAACCTCCGACCCTAAGATTCCCAAGCACCTATCTTGACCACCCAGCCACCAGGGTGTTGATGCAGAAGTTGGTTGGAAAATGTGTCTTAGGTCTGCAACACGCAATGCTGCCTACACATAATAGTATACTATACCTCTCTCTCCATCTCTCTCTCTCTCTCTCTCTCTCTCTCTCTGTCTATGTCTCTCTCTCTCTCCCTCTCTTTCTCTCTCTGCTATTGGCGCGCCTGGTTGTGATGAAGCCGAGACCCAAGGTCGGCAGAGCATCCCAGACCACGCCACCACTCCCCTTATTCATGGCTCACACATGACGGGTTTACATGTACGTGGCTCTAGTAAAAAAAACCCATACAGGGATACTAAAATAGCCATTTTGGATCAGTATTTCAGGCCGAAAACGAAGCTCGGTATACATTGCAAGTAGAATAAACACTAAACGCTGTCTATAAAAACCTCGGCTACGCCTTGGTTTTATAGCAGTGTTTAGATTCCCATAAACACTATGACATTGGTGGTTACTACTACAGTAAAACCTGTCAAGGCGACCACTCGGATAAGGCGACCACCTGTCCTAGAAGACCCCTGCAGCCAGGACCAAGGGATGCCGTTCCCAGTCAAATGACCCTGGATAAGAAGACCACCTGTTTACAGAGACCACACTTTAAAAGTCCCTTGAGCGGTCGTCTTAAACAAGGTCCGGTGTATTCTGTACATAGAGAGAAAGTTCCTTGCTCAATGCAATCATCAGGCGACTATAGCTGTGCATTGATTTCATTGATTGCATTGAGCAAGAAACTCTGACTTGTGACAAATCTGTAAACCTCTGTTGTGTCTTTTGTTTGTAATAGTGCTCCATATTATTGTGTTGAGCCCTCTCCGCTGGCAGAAGGAAGTTTGTCTCCATGCAGAGAGAAAGTTCTACATTTTTTGAAATTAGAAAAAATGTGTCAAAACACCAAGTTAGTGCTGAGGACATAGTTTTTTTCTTGGGATGGACGTGGGGGAGGCTTGAGGCAGGAGCAGTTGGCCATGGCCGTATGGCAATGTATCGGTGTTGGTATCGTCTTTCCTACACCTAGTCATTGTTTTCGTTTTTGTATAGGTCCCGTGCTGGCGGTGATTGGTGGAGGCGGTTTTGGTGCTCGTGTCGGGGAGAAAGAATATGGGATTAATAGCGGCGTTATGAAGTGGAGGTAGGGTACAACCAGTGCAGAGCTATATCAGATATTTATTCCCGTAGCTATGCAGAAGACGTTACTTCAGTAACGTCTGGCGCTAGCCAGGGTCCACACAGCTTTAATTCCCGTAGCTATGCAGAAGACGTTACTTCAGTAACGTCTGGCGCTAGCCAGGGTCCACACAGCTTTAATTTGGTATTTGTTTGTTTGTGTGTTTGTTTGTTTGTTTGTGTCACGCCTGGCGCTATCCCGTATCTGACGGCAAAAAATCATAGGGATGTAATAAATTTTTCAATTCTCCTATTTTTTTTTCAGGCATATCCTGGGATTCGAACCCGCACTATCGCCCTACATGCATTCATACCCATTCTTCCAAGTTGCTTCACGTTATGATCTTGCGTTTGAAAGCCCTATTTGAATATTGCGGGCAGCTGTATGTGGCCAGCTGTGTTTGATGGTACGGTACGGGAGACGGTGTCGTATTACCCTCGATCGTACCTGTCCCGTACCTATTCGTACCGTACCATCAAAGACGGCTGGCCACAATGCATATTCAAATAGGGCTTTCAAATGCAAGATCATAATGTGAAGCAACATGGAAGAATTAGTATGTATGCGAAGTGTATCGGGGATGCATGCAGGGCGCGATAGTGCGGGTTCGAATCCCAGGTTATGTCTTAAAAAAAAGAATTTTTTTAAGAATTTATAACATCCCTATGCTTTTTTTTTGTCTAGGTCATCAAGGCAAAAAACCATAGCGTAGGGCCCTGAGCTTCCAAGCTCTCTCGTTTGGTATTTGTGTGTTTGTGTGTTTGTTTGTTTGTTTGTGTCACGCCTGGCGCTATCCGTATCTGACGGCAAAAAAGCATAGGATGCTATACATTTTTCAATTCTCCTATTTTTTTCAGGCATATCCTGGGATTCAGTTGCATGTAGGCGACTACGAATGACCGGTCATGTGCTACGGATGGACACGGACACGCCACCGCAAGTAGCCATGAGCGGCTATTTTGACAAGGGCAACAAAGCACCTCGTGGACGGCCAAGGTTGACACTGGCCACAAGTCTGGTTGCTCAGCTGAATAAGCTGGGTGTGCCAATGAAGACCATGGAAGACCTTTCCAGGTGCCGACAACAAGCAGCAGACAAGACAGACTGGAGGAAACTGTGCAGCTCGACACCCGGCGAGAAATCGGTATCAGATTCTACTACACCTAGCTGATGATGCTCACAAGACAGAAGCGGAAAAAACACTGAATTTCTTTATTTAGTGCTCTACTACGCGAAATGTGCTATTATTATTATTATTATTATTATTATTATTATTATTATTATTATTATTATTATTATTATATCCTGGGATTCGAACCCGCACTATCGCCCTACATGCATTCCCCCATACACTTCGCATTCATACCCATTCTTCCAAGTTGCTTCACGTCATTATCTTGCGTTTGAAAGCCCTATTTGAACATTGCGGGCAGCTGTATGTGGCCAGCTGTGTTTGATGGTACGGTACAGTACGGGAGACGGTGTCGTATTACCCTCGATCGTACCTGTCCCGTACCTATCCCCTACCGTACCGTGCCATCAAAGACGGCTGGCCACAATTCATATTCAAATAGGGTTTTCAAATGCAAGATCACAATGTGAAACAACTTGGAAGAATTAGTATGTATGCGAAGTGTATCGGGGGATGCATGCAGGGCGCGCGATAGTGCGGGTTTGAATCCCAGGTTATTTCTTAAAAAAAAGGATTTTTAAAGAATTTATAACATCCTTATGCGTTTTTTGTCTTGGTCATCAAGGCAAAAAAGCATAGCGTAGGGCCCTGAGCTTCCAAGCTCTCTCGTTATCTGAACAGAATAATGGAATTTCAGTTGATTACACAGCATGCAGGCAATTGCCTATAGTCCGCTGATTCAAAAAAAGTAATCATAGTAGAGAACAGAAAAGGACATATGGATACGAGTTTAGAGTAACTCTCCATCACTGTAACATGATACTATATACAGTCAGAAAGTGCAATAACTAGGCACAAAACTGACAGAGTACTGAGACATTCGACGTCCTGACACCTAACTTTAACACATCTCCGTAGCGCTAACCGACAGCCTTCCAACTTGGAAGGTTCAAGGTTATGGAAAAGACCAAAGAGGGGAAGGCAAGCGCAACGAAAACGAGCAAAAGCTAGTAGAGAACAGTATGGTTTCTTCAAGCTCACCGCATATGTTATATGCCCTCCCTGCTACTTATGTGATATGCCCGCCCTGCTTTCTCCAAATCTTGTTGAGGATATGAATGTAGGATAGTTTTCTAAACACCTTGTTTTGTCTTTCAACGACGATTATTTGGGTATATCACCTCTCTCCTTTCAAAAATTGAACAACACAACGGTTTATTTTCCAACACACCTTTCCAGAAGCACACGGACTCCAAGTGGTATTTCTCCAAGTCTACCCGCACTTCTTTCCTGCTCTGTTTCGACTCTCTCTTTCCGTCGTCCCTCTCCTTATTTGTACATTGAACTGTTGGAGCAAACCTACAGAATTGATCTGATCTAGAAAAATTAATAGCGTTCTTACCGACCAAGCAGACAATTTTCCTTGGATGATTTTGATGTTCGGGGACAGGAATAGTGTAATTTTCAAGATTGGCTCCTTTCCCACTTTTATAATAGAAGTGATTGGGACTACCATACAGTGTCCACGGTGTGTACCACTCAAAAGTACTAGCCACACTTTCTGCCTCACTAGCAGTAAAACCTGCTAGTTTACCGTTTGCATTACTACACACACTGACGGCTCCGTCAACATCGTCGTGTAGATTGTCGCCTTGGCCGTGCATGTACAACGTAAATAGAGATCCAGTAATCCACTTGATTGTCGCTGCAGAAAGGAAAAAAAAGGCAAGACAAGGACTGAAGTGACTGATAAGGTGGAAACCATTTTTTTTGTAGCTTGGAAACTGTGGGCACAAGTTATGCGATCGAGTCCACCAACTCAACCAGATTTTGAACAGCCAGACGCGCACAATCTAGCACAAAACTAACACGGAGTACTGAGACATTCCACGGCATGAAAGTCGGCTTGAGCACTGCTTGATAGCGCTAACCAATGGCCTTCCAAGGTTCATGGATATTGGTTGATCGTTAGGAGTTATTGAACGATTGTTTCAGCCCTAGTACCAGGTTCAAGTTGAAACCCATATTATGATTGTGAAAATATGAGCGTTCATTTTTGTAAGCAGTTAATTCTTTTACACGACCACACTAAAACCATTTTTTACAAGATGCACAACTCCCCGGCAGGCACATGGGGCTAGCGTGGGCTGAGATGGTGCTGGTGGGGCTTGCCATGCTCAACCAACCAGAGGTCTCGGCATCTTCGAATGGCAGGCACACCAAATTTGGCGGAAATCATAAGTATGGGCAAAATAAACACGCAACACACATGAACTATCTAACGAAGTACGTTCCAACTGTGATGAATTTGATGATAATGAAAATACTGGGCGACTAGCACACATAATATTAATTGGACACCAGACAACTTACAGACACATTTGCCAATAGTCCACCACACATCCCCCCGTGCGTGATTGCAAAACGGTTCGGTATTCTGGTAATAATAAGTCCAGTAGCCTGGTTTGCAAACAACTGAACCATCCCTGTAAACCTTCATGTAGCGGTTGGCAATGTCTGATGCAACTTTACAGCCTGTTGGCAAGAAAGAACACGCACATATGGGAGATCAAGGCTGCCCAGCAATTTAAGCTTGCCTCCATCCCCTACACCTTGCAATGAATGATCTGGCTGACTTTTCCCGTCCACACACCAAGTCATTTACTCTTCTCTGCGTGCTTGTGAGCCTATGAACTCTCTGTTTTCCCTCTGTTGACGCTTCAAAATCGCTCTATTGACACTGCAAAATCGCTCTGTTGACGCTGCAAAATTGCTTATCATCTCCCTCCCTCCCTCTCTCTCTCTCTCTCTCTCTCTCTCTCTCTCTCTCTCTCTCTCTCTCTCTCTCTCTCTCTCTCTCTCTCTCTCTCTCTCTCTCTCTCTCTCTCTCTCTCTCTCTCTCTCTCTCTCTCTCGCTCTCGCTCTCTCCCTTCCTCTCTCTCTCTCTCTCTCTGTCTCTCTCTCTCTCTCTCTCTCCTCCCTCCCTCCCTCCCTCCCTCCCTCCCTCCCTCCCTCCCTCCCTCCCTCCCTCCCTCCCTCCCTCCCTCCCTCCCTCCCTCCCTCCCTCCCTCTCTCTCTCTCTCTCTCTCTCTCTCTCTCTCTCTCTCTCTCTCTCTCTCTCTCTCTCTCTCTCTCTCTCTCTCTCTCTCTCTCTCTCTCTCTCTCTCTCTCTCTCTCTCTCTCTCTCTCTCTCTCTCTCTCTCTCTCTCTCTCTCTCTCTCTCTCTCTCGCTCTCTCTCTCTCCCCGTAGCTCTCTCCCTTTTGAAATTCGCTTCGATAGAATTGGGCACCATTGCCCGTTTGGCCTTGCGAAGTAAAATAGAAATCAACAACAACAACAACATGTAGTTGGCTATAAAAACCCTGCATTTGCCACGCAAAGTGGTAATTGGCTACCCCAGCCATGTATTGCTTTGATATAAAAAATACTAAAAATACTAAAAAATTGCCTCAACATTATTAGATCGCAGGCGCTCACCACACTGTACGACATGAATGGGTCCTTTCATGTGTAGGAGAGTAAAAACATCTGCTAGTTTGCAAATATTCTAGCACTACACACCGACACCGTAAAAGCAGAAATTTTGAGTGGTGTAATATTTTCGGTATCCTCCAAAATCGGCGGCTCAGTGGAGGGAAATTTTCGGTAATCCCTATTCCAGGTAATATATATGAAGTGCACAAGTACTACACCGGAATGTTCGTTGCGTTGTATTTTCGGTAAAAAATTCGGCACCGAAGTTACCGAAAATAAAACATTTCAGCTTTTACAGTGGAACAGAAGTTGCTCGAGTTGATCATGTAGGTGACACTGGGTACAATGCTGCACTAACAGGCGGTGCCTTCCCTGCGTCGGCATGCACATGGAGTTTGGAAATTCTCAACTGGCAGCCGCTGTTGTTGTGCATCGTCATCGGCAGGTTGCACAGCTCTCACCAGTGCAACCTTCTTGCCGTATGTTCGCACCTATAAACCCATGGGAGGTGCATTCGATTATAAAGCCAGTCTCAGTTATAAAGCCATGAGCTTCTTGCCATAGGCTTTTGAAAGGAAATGACACTTTTATTGAAAGTTTGTTTTGAAAAATGAAGGAATAAGTACTATACTAACAAACTCACAGGCCAGCAGGAAGGGCGAACAAGTGGATTTAGATTGAAACTTCTGTGTGGACTTTGACTTTTATGGCATGGCACAGTGGATGAGTCACTTTTTTTTTTTTTTTTTTTTTTTTTTTTTTTTTTTTTTTTTTTTTTTTTTTTATTTTTTTTTTTATTTTTATTTTTTTATTTTATTTTATTTTTTTTTATTTTTTATTTTTTATTTTTTTTTTTTATTATTTTTTTTTTTTTTTTTTTTTTTTTTTTTTTTTTTTTTTTTTTTTCAAAAATGGAGGCGGGAGGCCAAAACCGAGCTGCAGTCTCTACTGCATTTGCCTTCAAGCTTGAAGATGACTGGCCAAGCCAGCACATGTTCTATATAGACAACCTCATGAGCAGCGGAATTGCGGTCTCTGACATCCTGCAGATCGACCTCCACGGCCGTCGTGGATTTTGTTCAGTAACTGTCTCGAGCCTGGCGGTCCGGGATCGTGTGCTTTCCCAAGGCATCTCTGTTGCTGGTAAGCCCGTTCAATTAACTATCAGTGGCGCTGACGTTGTCAGCGTCCATGTATTTGGATGCCCCCATTCCCTGTCGGATAGTGCTGTCGCAACCTCATTCCTGAAATTTGGCTCAGTGATAGGGGTCCCTCAGCGAGGAAAATTCTGGGTTGAGAACTTCGAAATTGAAACCGGCACCAGGTACGTCACCATTCTACCGCGTACAGTCGTACCTTCGTGTGTAGCAGTCGGCCAGCTGAAACTGCGTACATGGCACAAAGGACAGGCTAAAACATGCTGGCACTGCAACAAGCCAAGTCATGAGGCAAGGGACTGCCCCGTACTGAGTACGAAGGGAAAGAAGCGTGGCTGGGAGAAAACTTCCAGTCCGGAAATTGGTCTCAGTGACGACACGCAGCAGCAGCAGCAGCAAGTGGCGTCCGCGGACATTACTGCTGGAACAGTGGACGCACATGGCATTACTGGTGCGGCAACTCCCCACAGCGAGGCACGTCATGCACCAGCCCAAGGGCAGCAGGCCGATCCCCAGCAGCCGCGGCTACCACTGCCTAAGCAGCAGCAGCAGGAACAGCAGCAGCAACCAGAGCAGAAGCAGGGATCCAGGATTCCCAGTAGCCAAACTACACCTGTTATACCAGCGTTCCGGCTGGCATCCCGGGGCAAAGCGGCCCATGCGTCTCCGGATGAGGAAGGTTTTACCCTGGCCTCAGGTAAACACACATTCCATCCCCGCGTCCTCACCCGTGAGCAGTATCCCCAGCCGACAACCGCAGCAGTCAACATGATGATCCGCTGCCGCAGAGAAAGCTGCTAACGGCCACAGTGTCCTGCAAGGTAACTATTCTAGTATATCCACGCTATAACTTTCTTATCATTATTCTCACCTATGTCTGACCTTAATCCTAATGCGGCCCCCTTTTTTCCGGGTCTTTTCACTCAATCCCGTAACCCTTTGCATCAGCATCATAGTTTAGGTACTAGATCTCAACCACCCCCGATCACCAGTGCTAGTAGTGCTTCTCAGTCTGAGATAGCGGGCCTCCAGATTAGTTTCCTCAACATTTGTCACTTGCTTAACAAGAAGGACGAGGTCGAGGAATTCATCCACAAGCACAACATAGACATAATGTGTCTCGCCGAGACATTCCTGACCTCAGAGACCCCGGACAGCCTTGTCAACATCCCAAACTATAAACTTATCCGTCAAGACAGACCTGGCTTCGGTGGTGGAGTAGCGGCCTATGTACGGAGCTCACTTCATGTTACTCGGCTAGAGGACTTTGCTCGTGGTGATCTTGAACTTCTCTTTCTCCTCGTTCACGGCCTCAATGGTAAGCTAATCCTCGGCACAGTCTACCGACCTCCTGGGTCGCTGGTCTCGTACTGGGACAAGCTGACTGACGCTGTGGACTCAGTCCACGCGCCCAGGGCCGGCACGCCTATTGCTTTGGTCGGAGATTTCAATATCGACACATCGTCTTCCAGAGCCGCCCAGCTGACGCATCTTCAACACTTCTGCGGTAACTTTTGTATTTTGAACCATGTCACTGAATCGACGCGTGTTGGACGTGGTGGGTCCAGAACCACCATAGACCTCCTATTGGCTGAGGACGGTGCAGTGGGCTCTTGCCGCGTTCTCCCGCATAGCCTCAGTGACCACCTCCCCATCTTGGCTACCCTTGCCTTCGAAATGCCAACCGTGCCAGTACTCAGATCTAGCCGAAACACCAGAGGAATAAATCTTCCGCAGCTCTGCCAGGACTTGGTCAACTCTCGTCTAGAAGATTTCAGCACGGCGAAATCCTTGGAAGATATGTGGCAGCTATGGTATGACAAGGTCACCTCACTCCTTGACAGGCATGCTCCTGTCCAGCAGCACCGCTTATCCAGCTCTAGACATCAGATTCTCACAAGATCCCCATGGAAAACGGCCGTTTACCATGATGCAGTCCGCGAACGAAATCATGCCCACCATCGTTGGCTCCGAAAACCTACGGACACGGAACTTTACGACACATTTTCAGATGCCCGCAAAGCAGCAAAGCGGCTTGCTCGTCAGCTGAAATCATCCTACTACACACAACTACTGGACACGTGTCAATCCAACCCCCGGAAAGCTTGGAAGGTCCTCAACGACCTCTGCGGTCGGAAGAAATCGTCAACTCCTACTCGGCTCACTGCGTCTGCCCTCAATGCCCAATTCAGTTCAGTTGTCAGCGATCCGCAGCGACCTGATGTCCTATCCCAACCTGAGGGACCGGGTATAGCAGATGGGTTGAACCGCTTCGAACCAGCCACATGCGAAGAAGTGCTTGCTCTCCTACTGAAGGTAGACGAGAGGAAGGCCACGGGTAGCGACGGAATTCCCTGCTATGTGTTGCGACACTGCGCTCGGGTCCTGGCCCCGTCACTGACTATCTTGATGAACGCGTCACTGGCCATGGGAAAGGTTCCGATGATGCTGAAATTGGCCCATATTCGCCCCATTTTCAAGGCAGGAGACCCCGAAACTGCTAAGAACTACCGCCCTATATCTTTGCTCCCGGTTGTTTCAAAGATCCTGGAAAGGATTGTGCATAAAAGGCTCTGTGTGCTCCTAACCGAACATGACCTCCTTCCTGCCGAGCAATTCGCTTACCGAGCCCACCACTCCACAGAGGACGCAGTCTTGTTGGCTGTGGATCAATTTTACGAAGCCGCAGACCAGCACCTGCATACCGGCGTGGTGCTCATTGATATGAGCAAAGCTTTCGACAAGGTCCAACATCAGACCTTGCTCCAGGATCTCTTCGAACTTGGTGTCTCCTCTACGGCACTGGACTGGTTTGCGGACTACCTCAGCGCACGACGCCAGTGTGTGGTCACTGCCAACGGTACACGCTCAGAGGAAACAGCTTGCACGTGCGGTGTCCCCCAGGGAAGCGTGCTTGGTCCGATATTATTCGCGATCTACACGAGATGTGTCGCATCAGTAGCTGACCCGGTGCGTACACTAATGTTCGCGGACGACATCATGCTGTACCTGAGCCACGCTAGCGCTCACGCCATCAACATCACCCTTTCCGCAGCAGTGTCGGCTGTCGCCAGGCTACTCGATGCCAAAGGGCTTATCCTCAACACCGGAAAGACGCAAGTGCTTGCAATCAAAGCTGGACGGCAGGCACACCTCGACCTCCACATTACTTGCACTGGCACGCCTCTTGCCCAGACCAGTACGGCTCGCTACCTCGGAGTCACTCTGGACGAAAATCTTCGCTGGTCAACGCAAGTCACCTCTATCGTCCGACGCACGGCTATGAAGCTGAGGATCCTCCGCCAGATCCGGCACTGCCTAACAGTGCGGCAGGCGATGCTGTATTACTCTGCCCTTGTCATACCGGATATTCTATATGCGTCGAATGCGTTTCTCCCAGGACTGTCCGCTGAGCAGCGGAACACAGTAGCCAAACTGGATAAACGTTGCATCCGTTGCGTGGCCGATGAGCACCCATTGGCCCACACTCTTCCCCTGTACACCAGGCTGGGTGTCTGCCCAGTGCTGGAACGAGGGGAATGCAAGCTCCGACTCCTGACATTTAGAATCCGTTCTGGAATCGTCAGTGAGCTGTTGTCGTCCCGAATTGTATTGCAAGGCCCGCCGACAGGCATGACCACTCGAGGTCAATTGGGACGCAACCTTCCCCTCCCCCTGGCCCACAGTGCTTCTGGCGCATGCCGACCGCTTCTAGCCAGCTGCCGACTCTGGAATGGCCTGCCCGACTGCATGAAGTCCATAGTATCTGTCCGTGAATTCAAACGCATGCTACGCGTATTCTACTTCGGTTAAATGTAATGGCTTTCGTAACCTGCTGATGAGACTCGATAGAATCATGCTACGATGACCCGACTTGTAAATTTGAGATCCATTTTTTTCTGCTCGTCTTGACCCTGCCTCCCCTCATTGCTACTTCCGTTTTCGTATTTTTATTTTCATTTATTTTCTCTTCATTTCTGACTCTTCTTACTGGTTGTCATCGCTTTCATAATATTGGGCAGAACTGCCCGTTTGCTATGCGATGTAAAATAAATAAACAACAACAACAACAACTTTGCATCTAAAATAGCTAGGAAAGCAGTGGTGTTATAACTGATTTCAAGTGATCCAGCTGCTTACAGTTAAACAACATTGCGGGGAAATCCAATCTCTGGATGAACTGGCCACAGCACTTGTACTGTTCCTGCTTTCAAGTGACGCTTTCAATGCCCTGCAGTAGCATGCATTCCAAACACCCCCACTCCCTGTAACAGATTAAAGAGACTACCAGGAGTGGCACGCGCTTGGTCAGGCGCGTTGGAAGGCATTCGACATTGGCGCGGCCATATGAATAGGTGGAAGGTCTTCCCCTGTTAAAGATTTAGGGAAATTGGGCCCAAATAGCCCATATTCCATTGCTTCAAAAGTCACAAGATGAAATTATTAATGCGGCTTTGGCCGCACCAGTTTCGACGCCCCTGTTAGTGACAAGTGAATGCATTGGCTTCATAGCAGCATTGTGCAAAGTACACACACTGCGCATGGGCCATGTTAAATGCAGCAAAGAAAATCAGCTGAACTGACAATGCATGCAAAGGTTTTCTCCTGCGACACTCCTTTCTGATGCATTCTGGTGGCAACGTGCTTTGCTTAATGATAACCGAAAGTGGCAGCTGCGGCTCTGGTCTCTACAAAATACACCAACACTTCACTTCCCATCCATCGTGTACGCGTAAAATGCCAAAGCTACTTGAGCACACACTACTTGCACATACCCAGGTCTCTCACAGGGTCCTGCAGGCCTGAACCCCAGCAGGGACAGGATGCTAGGGTCCACGTAGCCCTCAAAGTAGCAGCCAGTGTAGTTTTTTTTTAATATATTCAGAATTTCACCGCTGCCGAGACTGCCCCCCCCCCCATCTCTACTCATGTAGTAAACAAGACGTGTGGAATCAGACTGCAAGAAGCCATCAAAGTCACACACGACAATCTATGTATCTCACCTGCATGATAATCCTTTGCAGGCGGATTCACTGTGCACAACAATGGAACAACAACACACAAAGCAACTATCTTTAACTTAAATCATATCCACACACTTCATCACTACACCATCCGTTGTAGATAGATGCCTGAAATCCCCTGGCAAAATGTGGTCCATTCAATATCCGCAGGTCCGATAACAACATAGCGATTCATTACTACACGGCCTCATTTTCTCTGTGCTGCACTGATGAGTCGACAAAGCACAGAATAGGCCACAGAATATTCTGTCCGCAGATTGACTAGTTTGACCCTACCTATGTAGTAGTAGAAGATTCCTTCCACGTGGGGTAGTGCTTTTGCAGTTTGCACTTCGCAGAACTTACTGACTAGTCAATTTGAGCACTCTAGCAAGGTGCGTTCAGGCCTGGTGTAAATTCGGCTTTGAAAAAAAAACTCATTGCTATCAGGTACGACCACATTTTTCCATGCTGCACAAAAGGACAAACCCGTTCTGTCCGCAGATCAAGTGGTTCATTACAGCACTGTCGGGCGCCAAAGAACTGGGGGGTCAGGGCTCTAATCTAGCCCTTTCCAATTTTTAGCTAACATATCGATTCCTTTCTTATTCGATGGTACAGTCTTACATGTACATTTATGCAGAGTCATACGTCTGAGTGTACATTATAGTGTACATTACGGCTTCCGTTCTTATCTGCAAAAAATGCAGGCTAGACCGTAATTAAAAATTGGTGACATTCTAGCCTGTCGGTTCTTCGGCGATCCGTTCTTCGGCGGTCACTTCTTCGGCGGTCCGTTCCTCGGCGGTTCGTTCTTCGGCGGTCCGTTCTTCGGCGGTCCGTTCTTCGGCGGTCCTTGGGCGGTCCGTTCTTCGGCGGTTCCGTTCTTCTGCGGTCCGTTCTTCGGCGGTCTGTTCCTCGGCGGTCCGTTCCTCGGCGGTCCGTTCCTCGGCGGTCCGTTCCTCGGCGGTCCGTTCTTCGGCGGTCCGTTCTTCGGCGGTCCGTTCCTCGGCGGTCCGCTCTTCGGTTCTTCGGCGGTCCGTTCTTCGGCGATCCGTTCTTCGGCGGTCCGTTCTTCGGCGGTCCGTTCTTCGGCGGTCCGTTCTTCGGCGGTCCGTTCTTCGGCGGTCCGTTCTTCGGCGGTCCGTTCTTCGGCGGTCCGTTCTTGGGCGGTCCGTTCTTGGGCGGTCCGTTCTTGGGCGGTCCTTGGGCGGTCCGTTCTTCGGCGGTTCCGTTCTTTGGCGGTCCGTTCCTCGGCGGTCCGTTCCTCGGCGGTCCGTTCCTCGGCGGTCCGTTCCTCGGCGGTCCGTTCCTCGGCGGTCCGTTCCTCGGCGGTCCGTTCTTCGGCGGTCCGTTCTTCGGCGGTTCGTTCTTCGGCGGTCCGTTTCTCGGCGGTCCGTTCCTCGGCGGTCCGCTCTTCGGTTCTTCGGCGGTCCGTTCTTTGGCGGTCCGTTTTTCGGCGGTCCGTTCTTCGGCGGTCCGTTCTTCGGCGGTCCGTTCTTCGGCGGTCCGTTCTTTGGGGGTCCGTTCTTCGGCGGTCCGTTCTTCTGCGGTCCGTTCTTTGGCGGGTCGTTCTTCGGCAGTCCGTTCTTTGGCAGTCCGTTCTTTGGCGGTCCGTTCTTCGGCGGTCCATTCTTCCTCGGTTCGTTCTTTGGCGGTCCGTTCTTTGGTGGTCCCCTTCTTTGGTGGTCCGTTCTTTGGTGGTCCGTTCTTCGACGGTCCGTTCTTCGACGGTCCGTTCTTCGGCGGTCCGTTCTTTGGCGGTCCGTTCTTCGGCGGTCCATTCTTCGGCTATCGGTTTTTTGGCGGTCCGTTCTTTGGCGGTCCGTTCTTTGGTGGTCCATTCTTTGGTGGTTCGTTCTTTGGTGGTCCGTTCTTCGGTGGTCCATTCTTCGGCGGTCCGTTTTTTGGCGGTCCATTCTTTGGCGGTCCGTTCTTTGGTGGTCCATTTTTTGGTGGTCCGTTCTTTGGTGGTCCGTTCTTCGGCGGTCCGTTCTTCGGCGGTCCGTTCTTTGTCGCCGGACGGTGGTGTATTACGTGCAGGAGGTAAACAATAACTTGCAGAAGCGGTGCAAACAGTGTTTGGTTGGACTCACACCATGCCAAAGGATTTCAATACTTTGTGTAAGATAATGATAGGTAGGCATGACAGCCTCAGCAGTGCACACACTTCATTCATGGTCATTATGTGCATGCTGAATCTAGGTCAAAATATTTAGGGGTGCATGTGCCCCCTCCCGCCCTCCCCCAGGCCCAGGGTTGATGTTCCTCTGAATGTCACGTCCCTAGTTCAGTAGGAGTAGGTTGCACTTTTTGAAGCTCCCGTAAATCTTTTTTGGTAGAGCCCAGCCGGCATCAGGCCGGACTGGAGGTAGTTTCCGTAGGGTAGCAGTAAGGTTTTTTAGTAGTGCTCGTAGAAATTGGTGACCTCCGCCATGCCTGGGGCCACCACGAGAACAAACACTCGCGCGACTGCCCTGAGTGATGAAGAGCTGAGGCTGATGGCGTCGTTGCCGGGCATTGAGGTATCTGTAGTAGAAATCCTGAAAACATTGGCCGCATTTGTCTCGGAATCGGCTGATCGGGAGACGCGCCTAAACAAACGGGTTGACGAGCTGTCAAGGCAGCTCAAAGATGTGAATGAAGAGTTAGTGTCTCTCCGAGAATCCGCCATTGCCTTGCGAAAAGCCACCCCAAGGCCAGTTCAAACACAGCAGGGTACGGGAGCGGATCAACCTTCGCGTAGGCGTACCAAAGCAGGCAGTGCGGGTACAGGTACTCGAAAGCATGACACCACGATGTCCCGTAGCGTCCCCAGCAACATTTCCCGTAGCGGTGACGAGTGTGAAGAGGATGGCAGCGTCCCCTGCAACATCTCCCGTAGCAGTGACGAGTGTGCAGGGGATGGCGACCAGGATGCCATCCCCACCAAGTCCCAGACAGATGTGACCGAATCCAAGCCAGTCTTCCATGTTATTGAGGATGACTCATGGAAGCTTGTCTCCTCAGAACGACCCAAAAACAAGCGTGCTGTGGTGTATGTGGGCAATATCGCCACAGATAGCACTGAGAGCCACTTCAGGCAATTTATCAAAACCAGGAGTGAGTTTCTGGGCGCCTCCATTCCTGTCCACACCTGCAGTATATGGCTGTCAGAAAGTGGGCGTGCTTCCGCAAGAGTGACCATCGATGCCACTTCACTCTCCACAGTGACAGCGCCCAACTTCTGGCCAAGGCCCGTGTACTGCAGGGCATGGAGGTTCTTAGAAACCAGCTATGAGGGCAGCACCAGCAGTCGCAGCCACAGCAGCAGAAACAGCACCTCTGCCAGTGTTCTGACTAAACAGCAACAACAGCAGCCGGGTTCAACGTCCTCCTCCTCCCCGCCGCCACCACCACCGCCGCCACCACCACCGGCAGACTTCATCTCCACTCCACTACACAGTGGCCAAAAACGGAGAAACTCCCACCTTTCCCCACCAGAGGCTGGAGACCTGAAGAGATCAAACGGATCTGCGCCACAACATGACCAGCATGATGCGCAGCCACCCCAGCAGGATGCCCAGTCCTCCCATGCCCAATGATGGATTCCAGACCTCTGCGACTGCTAGTGACTAATGCATTCAGCCTGAGCAACAAGATAGGTGCCCTGCAGCATGCAATCCTGCAGTATAATGTAGACGTGGCAATAGTAACAGAAACGAAGCTCTGCTCAGATAATTCCTCCCATGAGTTGACCATCCCAGGATACTCACCCCCTATAAGGAAGGATCGAGATGCCCATGGTGGCGGTGTGGCAGTGTGGGCTAGGAGTGAACTATCCATTACCCACCACGACGATATAGATTGCCGTGATCACGAGCTCTTATGGATTTCCCTGGCAATGCACTCCGGAACAAAGATTGTTCTGGGTGCGCTCTACCGGCCTGGCTCTTGTGCAGAGACAGACACCAGCCTGATGGACTACCTAGACAACACTTTGGATGATGTCCGCCGTCTTGGCAGCAATGTGATAATTGCAGGGGACTTCAACGTGCATAATTCAGCCTGGCTACAGAGTAGCAAGACTACCCGAGCCGGTGAATGCCTGGAGGAAGTCTGCGCAGCACATCATCTTGTCCAGCATGTCACCCAGCCAACCCGCGGCAACAATACTCTCGATCTTATCATCTCCGATTTCTCACACCCCGTATGCACCACAGCCTATGCACCACTCGGACGATCTGATCATGCCGTTATCATTGCCGAGTTTCTCCAACAGCATCCACGACGCGAAGATCCTGCTGTTCGACAGGTTTGGAAATACGCCCTTGCTGACTGGCACCGCCTGAGAGCCTACCTCCGCAACATAGACTGGCCCGCCAAGATCCATGGGTGTGCGGAGCAGTCCTGTCAGCGCGTAACTGATGTCATCATGCATGGAATGAAACAGTTCATACCATCCAAAGAGCTTGTGGTGCACCAATCCAACCCTGTATGGTGGACACCGGACTGCTCTAATGCCAATCATGCCAAGGAGCGGGCATGGAAGCTGTGGCGACGCAATCCCCGCAACGATAACCACAAGGTCCAGTACATCACAACTGTTAACCACGAAGTGGAAGCGTGTCATGCAGCGCGATTAGCACATCAACGTAGAATTCGCAACAAGCTTACTGCAGGTTCCCTCCGGGACAAAGAGTGGTGGTCAACCATCAAGAGCGCAGCAGGCAAGGGACGTTGCTCTGACATCCCCCTGCTGACCAACCCTGCAGGACAAGAGTTCCACTCTTCTCGTGAGAAAGCCGAGTGCTTTGCAGCGCATTTTGCGAACAAGTGTAGCCTTGGCAATAACGACCTCTGTGCTGCTGACCTGCCTGACCTGCAACGACCTGCCTATGCCACGCTAAAGCACATTCACTTCCGCGCAGCAACGGTCAAACGGCACTTGGCGAACTTGGCTGTATCAAAAGCAACTGGACCGGATGGCATCTCTGCTCGTGTGCTCAAGATGTGCTCATCTGAACTTGCAGACCCACTGGCAAAGCTCTTCACCCTCTGCTTCTTAGCCGGTGTGCAACCCGGGGCATGGAAACTTGCCCATGTTGTCCCAGTTCACAAACGGTCCTCCAGATCTTTGGCATCTAACTACCGACCAATATCACTGCTAACGATCATGTCGAAAGTCATGGAGGGCATTGTAAACACGCAACTGGTTAACTACCTAGAGAAGCATGAGGTGTTGCCAAACAGCCAGTTTGGATTCCGACGTGGTAGAGGAACCGCAGATATCTTAACGGCTCTCCAACATGAATGGGTCCACACCATAAGTACTGGCGGTTGTGTCCAGGTCCTCGCCGTGGATATTGCCGGTGCGTTTGACCGGGTATCGCACACAGGAGTGCTGTACAAAGCAAAGCAGGCCGGCGTCGACGGACGCCTGCTTGTTTGGCTACAGGACTACCTCACCAACCGAAACATCCGCGTTGTGGTTGGAGGCCAGACGTCAGATGCTCAACCCATCCAGGCTGGTGTCCCCCAAGGCAGCATCCTAGGACCCAGCCTCTTCCTTCTATACACCTGTGACATTGAACAATGTTTAACTCCAGGAACGCAGCTGAGCAGCTTTGCAGACGACACCACACTCTACAGCTTAGTACAGCCAACTGACGATCTCCAACAGTCCACCGCCTCCCTCCAAGGGTCCCTCAACAGTCTTGAGGAGTGGGGCCGCAAGTGGCGTATCTGTTTTGAGCCAGCCAAGACACAGCGCATGACTCTACATCGCAAGCACGTTCCCCCCTGCACTCCACCAGTCACCTTTGGAGGTGAAGCACTCCAGGAGACAGATACCCTGAAGCTGCTGGGAGTCATGCTCGACCCCACTCTCTCCTACAGAGCGCACACTCGCAGTGTTGCACTGCGCGCCTCCCAAAGGCTGGGTTTCCTACGAAAGGCAGCACCCATCCTGGACGACCATGGTCGAGTGATGGTCTACAAGGGATTCGTGCGACCCCTACTTGAATATGCCCCACTGGCCTGGTCGAGCGCAGCCGCAACTAACATGGCCCAGCTGGACAAGGTTCAGCAACGTGCCCTGCATTTCCTGGGACCTGGAACCATCCTCCAAAGTCTTCAGCTTCGTCGGATGGTGGCAGCCCTGTCATACTTGTTCAAGCTGCACTACATTCCAGGGCCTCCCCAGGTAAAGGCCATGCTGCCACCAACCAAGCCCCCTGCCGTAGCTAGCATGTGCACACGGCAAACACGTCAGACGCACCATGCCTTTCAGCTGAAGTGGACACCACCTCGCACAGCCCCTGACTACCTCCTGCGATCCTTCCCCTTCTTCGCCATCACACCCTGGAACAACCTGCCTGCGGACCTCCTGCTTCACGAGCCTCATTCAAGACGCCTCCAAACCTTCAAGGTCAACGTATGTAAGGATCTAATCCGAAAGAGATGGCTGTGGTCCACACAGTACCTGTGACGATGATATTGAGATTTGAGACCCATTTAGTATTTACCTCTCTACTACTACTTGCTTGTTATGATTACTGTCCTCTTTCTTCATTTTCCCTTCTGGTTTAGTCATTACACGTATTAATTTATATTATTTGGTGCAATACTAGCGCCCCTTTCTCGCACCAAATTATTATTTTTGCTACCTGACCATGCACCCCCCCCCTTTTTTTCGATGCCAGGTTGCAACGCTAACGCCGAGACCCCTGGTCGGTCGAGTTGCTCCCTGTACATCGGCACGTCGTCCCTACATCCCCTGTGTCTTGTCTTGTGTTTGTCTCCACATGTCTCTTTGTAGGGCTGTGTTCCCAAAAAAAAAAAAAAAAAAAAAAAAAAAAAAAAAAAAAATGCTTACCAACAGGGAAGAACCCTTGGTACATACAATCAACTTCGCTAATAATGACTGCGGATATGACGAAAATTCGCGAATAACGACAGATTTTCCATGCCCAGAGCAAAGTCCATACTACCTGTATACATATAATGAGACTTCGGGTATAACGACACTTTGCGAATAAGGACACTTTTTCTGATGCCCGGCCGAGTGTGGTTATACGCAACGTTGACTGTATAGCACTGGAGTGATGTGCCATGAATCCAGGCACCGCACCCAGCAGCAACAACTCTTCACCCCGACGGTGGCAAGCAGTCAAGAACAGAACAATAATAAATAAGGAGTGTTCGGGCAAGCAACATATCACCACACTTATTATACAAAAGGGAAAGGACCAAGGAATTACAAGTTACGCTATACTGTCCACTAACACCACCGGTCACTAAACAATCCACTCATGCTCAGCTCATCAGTATATGTGTAACTTGTAGTTCCTTGGTCCTTTCTCTTTTGTATAAAGTAAATCTTGGCTCTCCATCCGAGTCCATTCCAACACTTATTATCTCCACCATTTCCCTACTTGTCTTTGTACATACATCTACATGTACTAGTAGTAGTACTGTTCTTTCAATCAAATGAACCCCTCGATAGGCACATTGCCTTTGGGTCTTTTCATAATAATAATAATAATCTGATAACCGCAATCAGTAATACAAGCTGGATCGACATTTGTGTACACTTTATTCATGTAATGTAAAACTGTGGAGACAATGTGCAATAAAACGATGAAAATGTGAAGAAATGGTGTAGAGAAAATGAGGATTCAAACAAGTTTTCGTGCAACACTCATCAGGAATCTTCGTTGTACTAAAGGACAATGAAAACAAAATTGAACTATTATAGAAAATCTAAGTTAGAGAATTAATAACACTAAGAACAACAGCAGTGAAATTTACAAGTGTGAATTTTATCAATGAAAGCGAGAGCAATAACGAATGCGTGTACTAACACTAAACTTGCAACTGAAAAATGAACAAAGAAGAGAAAGGGACAAAGTGATAACAAATAACAGCAGTAATATGATGCAGCCACTTGTTGGAAGATATATGCCCTGCCACCCTTCACGGATTTAACGGGATTTGGAGCCACTGCTTGAAGCTGTGGAAATACCAGCAGCATCAGGATAAAGAATTCCCACAACACCGTTTCAGTCGCACTCTGTTCCTGGCCTCTTGATTCTAGATTTTGGTCTTGGTTTTCCTTGTGGAAGCTTGATTTTCATCATTAATTTTGATTTTTCTTAGGAGCTTGGGGTTATCCTCTAGTGCAAAGGCAACCATGCTTGTTCAACTGTGAGAATTAAAATAAAATTTAACTTGGATAATGAGCCAGTAAGAAATGGAAAATAGAAGAAACCTCAAGGAAACGAGTTATGAAGCAACTTACTGACTGACTGCATATTATCTTGTTACAGCTGAGGATAGTTGCTTCATGACTCGTCTCCTTGTTTTTCTTCTTCTACTATAGACCACACCGCTTTTTTCTATGTTTCGCGTCACCTTATTCGATGAAATCAATGAGGGAGGGCGAAAAAATGCCATCCAAAAAAAACAGTGTACTTGCATTGCATGTGTGTACATGTACAGTGGAGCAATAAAGACCTGGAACTGATCATGTACATGTACATCAAAATTAATTATTAATTCATACATGAATACATGAGTGTAATTTCAATACAATGAATGTCGCAGGGTAAGTTTATTGCACAATGCAATCTTTACTGATTTGTAACAACTGGCCAAACTGTGTCAGCACTATCAGCTGTATGGGAAGCCACGCCTCTGGCATGCTTGTGGTCTAACCACAGGCGGCGTGATGATTGTGTGACTTGTGGCCCAGCTTACACGCACACACAGGTGCATGTACATGTATGCAAGCGGAGTACAATCATGCGACAAAATAAATGATGTCAACATAATAGTTTCCCTGTAACAATCATGTTCGGTTTTTTGTTTTGTTTTTGAACTCCGGCTGTGAAATACACGCGTGCGGGGGAAGCGAAACATAGACAAAAAACGGCGTGGCCTTACATTAAATAAAGAACAACATTAATTCACAACATGTTCAGGTTGCTCTACTTACGTTCGCAGATTGGGAAGTTGACCCAGTTTCCTTGGTGGCAATAGACGCGTTTGGGATTTTTCAGTGTGTGGCCTGGCAGGCAGTGTGCTAAACCATTCTCGGGAATATTGAGAACACCTGTGCTATCCACTCGCACAGCATTATTGCATACTCCTAATAGAGTTACCAGAGATTAACACACCACACACAACAGCAATGACAACAACTGGCTATTGGTATACATACCGTACGTTTGCGCCTTTAAAGGGGCCATCCTTAAATATCGAACCTTTTTTCACCAAACGAATTATTTTAGGTTAGACCCAGCCCCTGCCTCCTCCTCAGAACGTAAAAAATGTTGACATACAGCATTCCAAACAAAAAAATACGGTACACGTGGGACACGGCTGGAAGCCGGGTTTTCCGCATCTGTAGGAACGCCACCACCCTTCAAGGATCACGGCACAGATGCAGCTCCTAAAGCGGTGGGAGGTGAGTAGATCAGCTCACCAGCAAGTGGTCAAAGACCGAAAATCCCATTCACTGCATCCAACATTCCAAGCTGGAAGGCTGTTGGAGTGCGCATCCAAGATGCGCTAGAGCTGATTGCCAGTTAAGTGTAACTGTCTCTTGGTCTCATCATTGCAGGCAGGAAAGCAGACACTAACACAAACCACTACTCCAGGCGCGTAGCACCGCCGTTGGCGGTGGTCCGGCCCGGGGGTCCGGGGATCTCCCCCCAGAATTTTTTTGAAATTAGGATGCAAAATCCTGCATTCTGGGCACTTTTGGCATTGTTTTACTATGGTGGTCGTGGTCGGGCGAAAAAGTGGTCCGGCCAAAGTCGGACCGGCCGGAGCGGCTGCTACGCCCCTGTACTCATACTTGAGAGTTCATACTACTTACTGGCTAAGCAGGCAAATGGAAGCTCCCTCGAATTGTCCCTGGCCTCACTATGTCCTAGCCGGTTGCCATTCACCTCGAAGGCGTAATGAGTATCAAAAGTATATCCATCAAAACCCAATTCATTGGATTGTCGAGACCAGAAGAATAGGTCTTTGGCGGCGGCAGCACCAAGTTTCCCGACCACAAAGGAGAGAGTCTCCACTTCAAAAGCATTTTGAAAGTCCAACAGTCTTGCGTCATATCCATATATGTCTATGCAGTGTTTGGTGGCATTGTAATGACTCATCCTCAGCAGGTCGCGGGAAAAGGGGATAGTTGGCACAATGACATAAAGATCATTCTTGTGGTACTGAGATGCAGCTGCATAAGGGAAATACAAACAGAGAAAGAAAGGGCATCAGCAGGACGCTCTGACAAACTTGAGCTATCAAATGTTGATTATAATTATGCTATGCTTGGATGACAACTGCACCATAGCTTAAACGCCTTGACAGAACGAACGTTCTTTGCGAAGCCAGCCATCAAGATCGTAAAGTGGAATGTGCCGAAACGATCTACGAGAATAGTGCCAATATACCAGCAGCGGTTGTCTTCATGCTACTAGCTTGATTAGAGTATCCCGGCTCATGAGCAAGGTTTTTTTTTTACACAATAGCCACAAATCATCATGGTGCAAATACCGGCAAAAACGCACATGGATACACATAGGGATGGCAGCCGAAGCAGTGGAGGCTGAGCAAGAGCAGCTCAACCGACCAAGGGTCTTGGTTTCAGCACTGCTCATGCGCGCCAAACAGAAAAAATACGAAGTGAGAAAAAATTAGCAGGAGCACAACAGAGCAAATTAGAAATAAATACCAAGTAATAATAGATAGGAGAGCAGGCACACCACACATTGCCACAAACGCCCAGTAGCAGGCCTCCGAATGCATATACACAAACACACCCTCAGACACACGCACACCCAAACACATGTGCACGCGGACACAAACATGCGTGCACACATGAGCGCACAAACTTACATACAAGGGTACCTGGTTCGAGTCATGCTGGTGACCGTCATGTGTTTTCTCCAAGCATTTCCCGTCTATAACTCCCCTCAAACCAATGTGTGCCGGGTTATATCGTGAGTTATCTACCTCCACTGAGGAGCTTTCAATGAGCGAAAGAACTGTCTGGAGGATATGCAACATCTACCTAATGAATTTCCGGACAATTGTGGTGTGAATGTGGACCAAGATGGCAGTGTGGAGTGGTGGAGCGTTTCAAAATGTTCTAATGGCCAAACTTGTCGCAGATTCTACGTTAAAATTTAAAGAAAGTCAAAGGATAGCAATCAGAATTGTAACTGTTAATCACATACAGATGCATTTAGTCGGCTGCAAGATACCACTCTCTGAGCATGCTGCTGGCTTGGACGTTTCTGGAAACCATCCTTTCTGGCAGATTGTTGTTCCGTTCTGAGCAATTCCTTCATATCCTGCTGGTCTTGTCTCTAGCTGTGGAGGTGTGCAAGCTGCAACGAGGAATAGGAATATCACACACACACACACACACACACACACACACACACACACACACACACACACACACACACACACACACACACACACACACACACACACACACACACACACACACACACACACACTCACGCACGCACGCACGCACGCACCCACACACACACACACACACACACACACACACACACACACACACACACACACACACACACCATGTACCATGTATACGCCCGTCGGAAGAGAAGCACACAAATCTGCATATGCACTGGATGTGAACCCACAGATTTTCTCTTATAGCAACGATAGGGAACAAGATCTGAATGAAACAGATCAAGACTTGCGCCAGATAACTGTCTAATCCACACAACTGGCGAAGCCATGTGAATCGACCACCAATGGCTCACCTGGTCTGCACCACACGGTGTACATCGGCATAAAACGGCCAATACAGTTACCTATGCACACCCTACACTTGCTGGGGTAACCAGTATAGACAGCACGCTGCTTTGACGACCACATTTTTCCATGCTGCACAAAAGGACAAACCGGTTCTGTCCGCAGATCAAGTGGTTCATTACAGCACTGTCGGGCGCCAAAGAACTGGGGGGTCAGGGCTCTAATCTAGCCCTTTCCAATTTTTAGCTAACATATCGATTCCGTTCTTATTCGATGGTACAGTCTTACATGTACATTCATGCAGAGTTATACGTCTGAGTGTACATTATAGCGTACATTACAGCTTCCGTTCTTATCTGCAAAAAATGCAGGCTAGACCGTAATTAAAAATTGGTGACATTCTAGCCTGTCGGTTCTTCGGCGATCCGTTCTTCGGCGGTCAGTTCTTCGGCGGTCCGTTCCTCGGCGGTCCGTTCTTCGGCGGTCCGTTCTTCGGCGGTCCGTTCTTCGGCGGTCCTTGGGCGGTCCGTTCTTCGGCGGTTCCGTTCTTCTGCGGTCCGTTCTTCGGCGGTCTGTTCCTCGGCGGTCCGTTCCTCGGCGGTCCGTTCCTCGGCGGTCCGTTCTTCGGCGGTCCGTTCTTCGGCGGTCCGTTCCTCGGCGGTCCGCTCTTCGGTTCTTCGGTGGTCCGTTCTTTGGCGGTCCGTTCTTCGGCGATCCGTTCTTCGGCGGTCCGTTCTTCGGCGGTCCGTTCTTCGGCGGTCCGTTCTTCGGCGGTCCGTTCTTCGGCGGTCCGTTCTTCGGCGGTCCGTTCTTCGGCGGTCCGTTCTTCGGCGGTCCGTTCTTGGGCGGTCCTTGGGCGGTCCGTTCTTCGGCGGTTCCTTTCTTTGGCGGTCCGTTCCTCGGCGGTCCGTTCCTCGGCGGTCCGTTCCTCGGCGGTCCGTTCCTCGGCGGTCCGTTCTTCGGCGGTTCGTTCTTCGGCGGTCCGTTTCTCGGCGGTCCGTTCCTCGGCGGTCCGCTCTTCGGTTCTTCGGCGGTCCGTTCTTTGGCGGTCCGTTTTTCGGCGGTCCGTTCTTCGGCGGTCCGTTCTTCGGGGCTCCGTTCTTCGGCGGTCCGTTCTTCGGCGGTCCGTTCTTTGGCGGTCCGTTCTTCGGCGGTCCGTTCTTCTGCGGTCCGTTCTTTGGCGGGTCGTTCTTCGGCAGTCCGTTCTTTGGCAGTCCGTTCTTTGGCGGTCCGTTCTTCGGCGGTCCATTCTTCCTCGGTTCGTTCTTTGGCGGTTCGTTCTTTGGTGGTCCCCTTCTTTGGTGGTCCGTTCTTTGGTGGTCCGTTCTTCGACGGTCCGTTCTTCGACGGTCCATTCTTCGGCGGTCCGTTCTTTGGCGGTCCGTTCTTCGGCGGTCCATTCTTCGGCTATCGGTTTTTTGGCGGTCCGTTCTTTGGCGGTCCGTTCTTTGGTGGTCCATTCTTTGTTGGTCCGTTCTTTGGTGGTCCGTTCTTCGGTGGTCCATTCTTCGGCGGTCCGTTTTTTGGCGGTCCATTCTTTGGCGGTCCGTTCTTTGGTGGTCCATTTTTTGGTGGTCCGTTCTTTGGTGGTCCGTTCTTCGGCGGTCCGTTCTTCGGCGGTCCGTTCTTTGTCGCCGGACGGTGGTGTATTACGTACAGGAGGTAAACAGTAACTTGCAGAAGCGGTGCAAACAGTGTTTGGTTGGACTCACACCATGCCAAAGGATTTCAATACTTTGTGTAAGATAATGATAGGTAGGCATGACAGCCTCAGCAGTGCACACACTTCATTCATGGTCATTATGTGCATGCTGAATCTAGGTCAAAATATTTAGGGGTGCATGTGCCCCCTCCCGCCCTCCCCCAGGCTCAGGCTTGATGTTCCTCTGAATGCTTACCAACAGGGAAGAACCCTTGGTACATACAATCAACTTGCTAATAATGACTGCGGATATGACGAAAATTCGCGAATAACGACAGATTTTTCATGCCCAGAGCAAAGTCCATATTACCTGTATACATATAATGAGACTTCGGGTATAACGACACTTTGCGAATAAGGACACTTTTTCTGATGCCCGGCCGAGTGTGGTTATACGCAACGTTGACTGTATAGCACTGGAGTGATGGGCCATGAATCCAGGCACCGCACCCAGCAGCAACAACTCTTCACCCCGACGGTGGCAAGCAGTCAAGAACAGAACAATAATAAATAAGGGGTGTTCGGGCAAGCAATATATCACCACACTGTTGTATTATGATGTAATGCATTACGTAGCCATGCAAGAGCATGCGCGAGATACGCATCTCGCAGCTGCCTACTTTCATGCAGCATCCTTTAGAAGTCGTAGTTCTTATGATTTGCCTACAATGGCCAAGTGAGAATATAATCCTATCGTAAACAACTAACTTGTTTACCCCGAAACATGGTGTCAGAAGTAAACTAAATAAACGCCCTAGAATTGTCGCAGTAGCGCCACCGGTGCAAGAGGTAAAATGGCAGAAGCAGCCGGATTTACCCCGCCGTCGATGGATTGGCAAGCCGCAGATTTACCTGATGAATTCGAGCGGTTCCAACAATACTGCCTTCTAGTTTTCCAAGGGCCCTTTTCCGACAAGTCCGACAAGGAAAAGGTCGCCTATGTCATGCAATGGATCGGGAGAACTGGTGTTGATGCTTTCAATAGTTTCGAGTGGGATAATGCAAGCGACAAATCCAAAGTAGCTGCCGTCTTCAAGAAATTTAATAAGCATTTGCAGCCACGGGTAAATGCACGACTGGCTCGGTTTGAGCTTCAGAAATACCGCCAGCAACCCGACGAGTCTGTAGATGATTACTTTGCGAGGTGTAAGAAGAAGACGTCCAAGTGCAAGTTCAGGGACGCTCAGGAGACTAACGATCACCTGATAGAACAGCTAATCGTGGGGACGAAGCACTCGAAAGTGCAAGAACGCCTGCTGGAGGGTGGTAGTGATTTGACTCTGGACGAAGCGCTTGACAAGGCCCGTACTTATGAAGCAACACAGCGCCACATGGAGCAGCTGTCCACCGCCACCAGCAGCAGCCGTCTACCTGAAACGGTTCACGCCATTTCCAAATCTGTGGGACACGCAGATTGCGGCAAATGTGGACGAACCCACCACCCAAGCAAGTGCCCAGCGCACGGCTCCACCTGCAACAAATGCGGGAAGGCGAATCACTGGGCAAACGTATGCCGTTCGCAGGGGAGAGACGAGGCACATGGAAGGGGCCAGCAACGCGGACGCTGGCGCCAGAGGAGCCCCAGCCCGTGGGAGCGCTACCCCCAGAGGAGCCCCAGCCCACGGAGACGCTTCGACGCACTGCATTTCGACGCCGTCATCATCGACAGCGTCGAGCGTCACCAACCGCCACTAGAGCGAGAGGTGTTCGCGACCCTCAATGTCAGCCTGGACAACACCAACAGACCGGCCACCTTGAGAGCCAAGGTGGATACGGGCGCCCAGGGCAATATATTGCCGCTGAGAGTGTTCTGCCAAATGTTTCCCCAGCACGTCGGACCAAACGGATACCCAAAGCCGAAGTCCGTGAAGCCGTCAAGTACCACCCTCACAGCGTACGGCGGATCCAAGATAAAGCAATGCGGAACCCGTCCTATTCCGTGCTCTTACGATGGCAAGAGTCAACTCGCTGACTTCTACATCACGGACTGCCCTGGCACTGCTATCATCGGCCTTCCGACAGCGGCAGCCCTGCAGTTAGTCACGCTGAACTGCGCTGTCCAGGAGAAGCCAGCGAGCATCCGAGACAAGGATGACCTGATGAAGCAATACCCGAAGTGCTTCGATGGCATTGGGAAATTCCAGGGCAAATACCACATCACAGTGGACCCCAACGTCGTCCCGGTTGTACACCCTCCACGCCACCTCCACGCCATCGCACTGAGAGACGAGATCAAGACGGAGCTGGAGGACATGATCCAGAACGGCATCATCACCAAGATCCAGGAAGGCGAACCAACAGCATGGGTGAACAGCCTCGTGTTCCGCCTCAAAGACAATGGCAAGCTACGCCTGTGCCTAGACCCCAAGGACGTCAATCACGCCATCCTGCGAGAGCACCACGTGGTCTCCACCATTGAGGAGATCACCCCGAAGTTGAGAGGTGCCAAAGTGTTCTCGATTGTCGACGTCAAATGTGGGTACTGGAATGTGGAGCTCGACGACGAATCCAGTTACCTCACCACCTTCAACACACCATTCGGGCGCTACAGATTCCTTCGCATGCCATTCGGCCTCAAGATGTCGCAAGATGTCTTCCAAGCAAGGATCGACCAGACGTTCGAAGGGTGCTCAGGCGTCACCGGCATCGCAGACGACATCGTCACATACAGGACGTCAGACGAGGACCATGATCTCAACATGCACCAGATGATGGTTCGCTGCGAACAATCTGGTCTCAAGTTGAACCCAGACAAATGCCGCATCAAAGAGGACAAGATCAAGTTCTTCCGCATCATCTGCAGCGCTGACGGAATACAGCCCGACCCGAAGAAGGTCTCAGCGCTGAAGCAGATGGAGCACCCCGAGAACGAGGACGAGCTCCAGACGTTCCTCGGGCTAGTCACGTACATGAGGCCGTTCATACCGAATGCCAGCACACTGACCGCGCACCTGCGTGAGCTGACCAAGCCAGATACACCGTTCGCCTGGACAGACAGCCACCAGCGCACCTTCGACAAGGTCAAGGCCGCCATTTCGACAGAAGTAACGCTCAGTTACTTTGACCCAGGCAAGGCAACGACACTACAAGTCGACGCTTCCATGAAAGGTCTCGGCGCCACTCTGCTGCAGGACGACAAGCCTGTTGCATTCGCCAGCAAGAAGCTTACCGAGACGGAGTCTCGCTACGCCAATATTGAGCGTGAGCTCTTAGCTGTCGTATACGGGTGTGAAAGATTCCACACCTACCTATTCGGTCAGTCATTCATAGTAGAATCCGACCACAAGCCGCTGGAGTCAATCAAGCTCAAGCACCTCCGCGCAGCCCCGCCGCGTCTACAGCGCATGCTGCTGAAGCTGCAGCCGTACGACATGACCATCAAGTACCGCCCCGGAAAGGACATTCCGATCGCAGACGCGCT